GAGGTTCAGGGTGTTGTCCTCCAGGCAAGAGCCCAAAAGTCGGGATGCTTGACCACGAAGCTGTTGCTACAGCAACGGCTGTGCCAGCGCTTTGGAGACCCTCCCAGGCATGTGCAGACTTCCAGGTAGCAGCAAAATTCATGAGAATTATTTTTTCTCTGGTAAAGAGGTAATAAAACCCCATTGGACACTAATGGGCAAAGTCTTCACTTAGGCACCTGAATGCATTGCTCTGCCGACGCCGGAGCCAGGTCCACCCTCTGCCAGCCTGGGCAGCTCTGCCCACGGAGCACAAACGTCTCCCACTCGGGCCAAGAGGACAACGGCTGCGGCATCAGCCAAGTGACGCTTGGGCAGGTCATGATTTTTAGCACATCTCCTGCTTTTTTCAAAGCTGGAGGAGGACACCTGCAGCACCTCCTGTTCGTGTGGGAGCATAAGGATGATGGTCTCAGGATGGGGCAGAGCAGACACCTTTTCTTCCTGGTAGAGACCACGGCAAGTCACTTCAACCCTACCCCCCTTCTTTGCATCGGTGAAAAGGTGGCAAGTCCCCCTCCCCAACCCCCAGTAACCACTGAGAGTCTAGAGGGGATCAGTGGTGGGAGATCAGAGATCTCCGGGGATCTTCGGTGATCCAAGTGGCCCTACGCAGCGCGAAGGAGGAAGAGGAGGGTTAGTGCCCCACTGCAGCTGACCTGTCACCTCCCAACAACCAGCACCTTTCCAGGAGGTTGTGATCTCTCAGCAGAAGCTGGTCTGGGAAGATGGAGGATTTTCCCTTGCCTTGCTCATCTCCATCTAAACAGGGTTCCTCCCCAAGTTGCTGGAGGTTGAGCTCCAAGTGAGCCTAATTTGTCTGCCAGATGCCTCCACACCAGCAGGTGACAGCCTCAGTAATTCACCTCCCTGATAACCTCTCTCCAATGCGTATGGCAACACCTCAAAGGCTCCTACCTGCATGGACCCAACAGCAAGACCCAAATAGTAATGCTCAATAAATAGAGGAAATAAATATTAAATAGAGGCCAAGTCCTCTCAGCCTGTTCAATATATGTACAATGCATAGCAAAATAACAGTGATTGGCTGTTGCAGACAAGTTTGGTACAAATTCAGTCCCCCGAAACAACAAAAACATTGAGAAGAGATGCAGTCAACATAAAGCAAAGCTCAACTGAGTGCTGTACCCTGTGAAGAAAAAGAACACGACAGCACTTCAGAATATCCCTTATCTTTGCTTTCCAGCAAACTTAGACAGATTGTGTCAGGTTTTCTGGAGCCTGGCCCCAGTGCTGGGGTTAGGAGAGGTGGGACAAGCCTCACTCGGTGTAACAAACCCAGAGCTGAGGCAGGTCCAGGGAGTGGGGAGAGCCAAGGGCACGGCCCTGGGGTCAGGCGCACATTTGGGAGCGTGTGCTGCGACGTGCGCTCTGCCAGGAAAGGCAACCGGGACGCTCACGGGATGGAAACAAAGCCATGCGTGGGAAAGAGCCTCTGCATTTGAGGAAGGCAAAACCCTCCAAGACAGGGCCTCCAGAAAATAGCCGAGATGTTTTCCTGAAGCCTTGGGGCTGTGGCCAGTCCTGAGCATCCCTTGTGCCGCAGGCAAGCAGTGATTCACCAGCCCCAAAATGACTGAGTTGCCCTTCCAGCAGGTGAATGCTGCTCTTTGCAGAGAGCACGAGAAAGAATCTGAGATGCCGGATGCTGGACATGGAGCAAAAATCCATAAAAGCAATGAATGAGCAAAACAACATAAAGAGAAAAAGAAAGAAAAAAAAAAGCATTGGCAAAAGGCACAGAGACAGAAATGCTCATGGGCTTCTCGCAAATGGACAGAAAACCCAGTTGTCCGCTGACAGGGAAAGGTGATGTTCCAGGTTGTACTAAAAATCTTAAATAAGTTAAAAAATAAATACCACCACTGAGGGAAACTCATCTGTATATGCACATACACGCACATATACGTACACATACACAGACTCGGTTAAGTCCCGTCACCAGAGGCTGGATTTTGCAAGCATCTTCAGCACGGATCACTCTCTCACGGTCTCATTCCTTTAGTTTTTCCATGGGTGGGTCACAGGGCGGTGATAAACACAGCAGGGGAGTCCTAGCGACAGCATCCTCCCAGGGAAACCAGCGGTGCCTGTGCAGAGCGGCTCGGTTTCGGGTTGTGCGCCGGCAGCCCAGCCAAGGCAAACAGCAGCGGAGGCCAGCTGGCACCCGGCCGGTGCGAGCGCAGAGCGGGGGGGCACCTCCCCT